ATTTAAAGCGTATACAGAGGATCACAGATAAGTGACAACCAACCCCATTACACTGGTGGATATGCACCCTGATGGGACTTACAAAGCTAAAGCCAGACTAGTTTTTGAAGAAAAACTGGGGTCAAGATATACAAGGGTAGATTCTCCAAAAACAGAAAAGCAATTTTGATTTTTTTTTGGCTCAGCTAGTAACAAATGCTTGGGAATGTACATCAATCGTTAATAAAGGTGTATTTTTGCATGGAGACCAGCTCAGGAGGGAATATTTTATTCATCCGCCAAATGAGGCACAGTGGAAACACCCTGGAAGTTAAATATATATATGATCTAAATGATCCCTATACGGTTTGATAATCAACTTATTAAAATAGAGTTGTATTTAGTTAAAAGCTGACATTGTCACGTTGTATTAGCAACATAAGAAGCAGCATAAAGGAATCTTTATGAAGAAATTCAAAAAAGGGGTTCAGCAGCCTATTGAGTGGTACATTATCCCATAGTGATTTATTATCAATGTTCATGGAAGGCAGTGAATAAAAAAGGAATGAGGATCAATATTTCATTTTTAAAACGATAATGGAGAATGGTGAGATCCCCAAATTGAAATGGGTGGATAGCAACAGCCGGCTAACTATTTTAGAAAAGAATTCAACAAATTCTAAGGAACTGTTGGACATACTGGAAAAAGAACTCTTGGAAACATAAAAAAAAAAGGAAAACAGTCTGTCATTTTGCATGTTTGATTTTTTAAAATTAGATATTGATTTATTTAAAAAGAGAAAAAAATGGGGATCTGTTCTCATCTAAATTGGTCTGAAGGAATGTCTGTGATCAAGTGGAATGAGGGACCAGGTGATGGATATATTAATGAAAAGTTAACTGGGATTGAATTGGTTGTATAAATATGGAGACGTAGTAATCAGTGGGTGAGAGTTTTATGGACTGTGGCTAACTGAAATAAAGCTTTCACATAAAAGTGGGGACTTGAATTCTGTTTAAATACAGTCACCTTTTGGAGCATAACAGCAGCCCTCAGTACGCCTCTATACGAATTCTAAAAGCAGCTGCTACCACTCGCCCTCCGTGCCTTTTTTCAGAGCTGAGATTTTCCAATCAATCTCCTTTTGAAATTCGGTGCCAATCTGTATAAATAAGCTCCGTGCAAATCAGTTAATTGTGTAGCACTGACTCAATTTCTTTGTCTCAGTCATCAGAAGGATCAAAGAGAGTCTTTATCCTAGCCTGTCACACACAGGGTGCAGGAAAGGCTGTGCTGCTTTCAGATCAACAGCCAGCAGATCCTTTGCATGAATGCACTCTGCATTTCAATTTGAAATGCGAGATGCACAGACTGCCAGCTCCTCAAACTCATTGCAGTTAAAAACTGAACTGTGAAACCCCCCAGCTGCAGTAACACACTTCAAATGGTTTAGGTGATGGTCATCTTTATAATCTTTTTGAATAAGTATTCCCAACGCTTCACCTTTAGTGGATGTGGTTTTGAGAACATTACTATACTAAACCAAACCAAACAGAACAGGTTCTTTCCAAGTCTTACATGAGGCATATAACTGAGAGCATTGGGATACACTGGCACCAGCTACACAGGTAACACAGGAGCGGAAGGAGAAGGGACACCGGTGGGAGGGGGAGGAGTGAGGGGCCACGGGTGGGAGGGGGAGAGAGCGGGGCCACGGGGGGGAGGGGTAGAGAGGGGGGTCACGGGTGGGAGGGCACAGGTGGGAGGGGGTAGAGAGGTGGGGCATGGGAGGGGAGGAAGGGAGATACACCAGGGAGGGGAGGGAGAGAGACGGGTGACTTGGGAGTGATGAGGGGGAGGAGCAGAACAGAGGGTGGGGAGCGAAAGGGGCAGCATGGGAGGGACAGGGAAAGAGGCAGCATGGGAGGAACAGGGAAAGGGGCAGCATGGACAGGAGGAGGGTGAAGGAGAGCAGGACAGGACAGTACAGGGAGGGATGAAGGAAGAATGGGATGAATGAAGGAGCAGTGAAGTTGGGATGGAGGGACTATGCAAGAGGTATATATTACACAATATTAATCATTGATAGAAAATCTTCCGGTAAAGAAATAATGGCACAGAAGGAGGTCAAGAGCTTCCCAGTTTAATCCCACAGAGCCGTACTTGGTCCCGAATCATGGGCTCTTCAAGGAGATTCATCCAGGTAATTTGTAAATGTGCCAAAAGTTTTCCGCTCTCTTCCTTTCAGGCTAGCGATTCTAGGTTCTTACCAACATCCTCTACCAAATACTTCACATCACCTTCAGTCCTTATGCCACTTACTTTAAATCTGTGTCCCACAGTTTTTGTCCCCTCTGCTAGAGTAAAAGTAGGTCATCCTCCATCTAAGCCTCTCATAACTTTATAAAGCTCAATTTCGTAATTCCTCAGCCTCTCCTGTTGTAGTCCATTATGATCACAGCTAATGGTAATATTGGAAATGTGACATCTCAGAGACCTGGCTTGATAGATCCCATGTTTGGTTCTTATAGTTAATGACTACAAGAATTTAGGTTAATTGTTATTACTATCATTAACTACCTTCGCATGGTGGTTACTCACTGAAACATATTCACGCAAAACTGCAAATGTTCTTTAACCATAATAAGTTTATTTTACAAAAGAAAGAAAACAAACAAAAAGCTATCTTTATTATTTGTTCATGGGATGTAGATCAGGATTTATTGCCCATTCATCATTGCCCTTGCATAGAGTGGCTTCCTGGGCCATTTCAGAGGGCATTTAAGAGCCAACCACACTACCATGGGTCTGAAGCCACATGTAGGCCAGACCAAGCAAGGATAGCAGATTTCCTTCCATTCAGGACATTAACAAGCCAGATGGGTTTTATGACAATCAACAATGGTTACATGGTAGCCATTGGGCTAGATTTTTATTTCAGTTTTTTTGTTGAATTCAAATTTCACCAACCATCATGGTGGAATTCAAACCCATGCTTCCAGAATATTAGCCCGGAGTGCTAGATTTCCACAATACCACTGTCTCCCTTTTATTACAGTTAATAAGACCATACCACACACAGCAAAACAAAATTTCCTAACACTATTCTTTTATAGATACTCAGTTCCAGAGAAATGTCGCTCTCCCAAGACTTCATGTTTTCACATAACTGACTCCTCCCACCTTATTTTCCTTAGACCAAGAAGACAATTTTTCAATTCTTTTCCAAGTCCAGTATCATGAGCCTTTCACAAACCTGATGGCTGAAACTTTAGCAGTTCTAATAACTTGAATACTTATATCCAACGCTCCTGGTTTAGACGCTTCAGACACTAAACTTAAGTGACTAATTTTCATCAACTATAATTTGATTCTACTGCTTACAGAAAACTGAAACTTGCTTATAAACTCAACTCCTGATTCTTCTGAACTAAGATCTTAAATTGTGGGGCAGCACGGTGGCTCAGTGGTTAACACTGCTGCCTCATAGCACCAGTGACCCAGGTTCGATTCCATGCTGGGGTGACTGTCTGTGTGGAGTTTGGACATTCTCCACATATCTGTGCGCGTTTCCTTTGGGTGCTCCGGTTTCCTCCCACAGTCCAAAGATGTGCAGGTTAGGTGGATTAGCCATGTTAAATTACCCACAGTGTCCAGGGATGCGCAGGCTAGGTGGATTAGCCATGGGAAATATACAGTTACAGGGACAGGGTAGGGGGGCTAAGTCTAGGTGGGATGCATAGGGATTCTATGAATCTTCTGTTCTAAAATCAAAACTAATCTAATGGACTGATGTGTTTAATCTGTCATAAACCCAACAGTATAAACAATCTATCCATTACCAATACACAAGGTCCTGCCATGTATTTGACTGAAGTCGCATGCTTTCTCGGAAATAATGCACTGAAGTCACTATTCCAAATAATTTTCTAGCCGCTTTTTAAAAAAATTACTTTCACAGAACTGACTCACGTCTATCTCCATCTATTTTGTAATCTAAGTCCCAAAATAGAAATGCTGTACACCTTTCATCACACTGATCAATCTTTCCCCATAACTAAAATTTTCCAATCCTGGCAACATCACCTTAAATCTCTTCTGCACCCTCTCCAGTGCAATTATACATCTGCTACAATGTGGTGACTGAACTGCGTGCAGTACTCGATCAGTGATCTAACTAATATTGTATACAGTAATGTAGCTTCCCTGTTTTCATGTTCAATGCCTTGGTGTATAAAGGAAAGCGTTCAAGATGTCTTTTTTTCCTCCGTTATTTGAACTGTCCTGCTACCTTTAAGGATTTTGGATATACTCTCTAAAGCTCCTCAATTTTTCCCCAGTACTCAGTATGGTCTCAATTATCATCTAGCTCCATGTCTTGTTGTACATCTCAAAATGTATTACCTCATTTGCCTAGATTAAATTCTAATTTCCTGCCCAACCAACCAGACTGTACCCACCATGTCTTGTTGAGATGTTAACATCAGAAAATGCATCAAGTCACTTTACAAGGATGGACATATTATGCAATGGGATATGTCAGTACTACAAGGTCACATTGAGCGACATATCGAAGCAGACATGATCAACTGATGCTGGCAGCTATACTGGCACTAGGCTGATAGTTCCGTACAGAGTCACACAATGATTGGCAAACTGGAAGCCTCCACTCTCTGAAAGGGTGTTTTCAATCCTTGTTCTACCTAGAGATTGTGGAAAAACTATTGGAAAGTCACTACATCACTGTCCATTCCAAACCTAACCTCCTGACATCTGTGCATCTGAAATCTGAAGCAGAAGTTACGATGAATGACTTTGGCTGATTATTCCATTGCCAGGCCAGGGGCAGTAAATTCCCTCATAGCATCCCCTCTCCAAGATCAACCAGCATAACACAGTCTAGCAGTGAAATTTGAATGACCCAGTGCTAGCAGTACCACCCAAGGCACTGGGCTTATCCAGCACACCAAGTGGAGGAGCCGTTAGCAGCACTCAGTGACGTCCAAAGACTTGACCATACCTTTGGATGTCTGCAATGTTGGCCATCGAATGGCACCAGGAATCCAGCAGCTGCAACAAGACACGCTGTAGTCCTGGATAGTCAGCTACATAGGCCTCGACCAGGCTCACTTTATCCTGAAGCAGGAGTGGAATGCAGACCTGCATTAAGAGAATAAGACTGTTCATGAGGGTCCTTTCTTTGTAGAGTGAATGAGGAGTGATGAAAAGTTTAGACAGGATTGAGCACTTATGAATGAATGGATAAGATAGTTTGTCCAGATTTAGCTCTATAAAATAGTCCTGGCCCAGTTCACAGGCAGCAGGAGGGCTTTTTCCTCATTGCATTTCCTCCTGATTTGGATTTTAAACGCAAACTGTCATCTAAGTTGTGAACCTACAGTAACAGAGCATCGTACAGGGAATTCCAGAGGGGGCGAGGCACTGAACAAGAAGTGCAAGCAGAAAGGAGAAAGAGAGGCAATTAGAAATAGAATATTCAAAGGCAGGTTCAGCACAAAGTCAAAGTGCTCTGAGGGAGTCCCCAAGGACAGAGGCAGAACAACAAAAAGTTGGGTTTCTGATGGGGAAACAATCAAAACAGTTCAAATAATTGTACAGTGCAAGTGGTCATTTGGCCTGATTATGCTGCCTCTGTGAAAGAACCACACCCTGCCCTTCCCCCACAGAGCTGCAAATGTTTCTTCACCAATTAATTACCCAATTCACTTTTAACAGTTACAATCTGCTTCCACCATCCTCTTAGACAGTATGATGCAGCAAATAAATCCTCCAGTCCCACCAGATTCTTTGATGAACTATCTTCATCTTTGCCTTCAAGTTACTGAGACCTCTCCCCTTCTACAACATCACAACCTTAGACAGTTGAAAACCTTAGTTAAATCTTTCCTGAATGTGCTCTGCTTTAAGGAGAATGACCTTCGCTTCCATCTGCAGTTCAAAACAGCACTCTGTGTCAATTTGCATTATGTGAATCACAGCAGGTCCCAAAAGGAAAATACCAAAAATCAGTGATTTTCCTCTCTCAGGTCCATGACTAAACTCTCCTCTTTGTCCCACCCCCAACTTCTGTCAATCTTTTTTGCATATCGATTTCAATTTATGTTTGATGTTTTAAAATTTAAAAGCTAGTTGCTTTTAATATTAATCCAATTCTGACAAGTTCAAGAATTGAATTACTACCTGTTTTGCATGTCATTTTATTGCACTCTGATGTAGCATGTCTATGGCTACGATGTCAATGTTTCCTCACACAGTTTGTGTTCTGAGTGAGTTATACTGGGAACTCCACTCCTTGATGCCATTCTTCTGCTTTTGTTATTTTACAATATGTACTGACTGAAATACATAAAAGTTATCTTGCAGATTATTGACTGTACTTCTAACCTATGGTTTCTTTTATTCATAGAACATAGAACAGTACAGTACAGTCCAGGCTCTTCGGCCCACGAAGTTGTGCCGAACTTTTACCCTAATCCTAAGGTCTATCTAACCTCCAACCCTACCTTATACTATCATCCATATGCCTATCTAATAGCCGCTTAAATGCCCCTAATGAGGCCGACTCCACTACCTGCTCTGGCAATGCATTCCACGCCCTGACCACTCTCTGAGTAAAGAACCTACCTCTGACGTCTCCCCTGTATCTACCTCCATTCACTTTAAAACTATGCCCCCTCGTAATAGCTACCTCCACCCTACGAAAAAGTCTCTGGCTGTCCACTCTATCTATACCTCTGATCATTTTGTACACCTCTATCAAGTCACCTCTCATCCTTCCTCCTTCTAAAGAGAAAAGCCCTAGCTCTCTCAACCTTTCCTCGTAAGACCTTCCCTCCATTCCAGGCAACATCCTGGTAAATCTCTTCTGCACCTTTTCCAATGCCTCCACATCTTTCCTGTATTGAGGCGACCAGAACTGGATACAATACTCCAGATGTGGCCGAACCAGGCTTTTGTATAGCTGGAGATTCACTCATAGGATGTGGGCATCGCTGCCTGGGCCAGCATTTATTGCCTATCCACAGATGTAAACTATATTAAGTCTTTATTTTCAACACTAACATGACTAACACAATCATCAGTTTACAATAACTTAGTTTACTGAGCTTGATGTTAAATTTGAGACTTGAATAGTTCCTCATTATAATTTGTATTAATTCACATACAACAGTTCACTAAGATTTGCTTTATTTTAGATTAAACATTATTTGATAAAATACCATGAATATGGTATCCTTCCATTTTACTTCTCAAAATGTGATGGGCATCATTAAACCCATTATCAAGTGCTGCTTTACAATGTTTTTACAGTGATTTACAATATCTATAATTGACTGTCATGGAAAAGAGGACATTTGTTATAACTTCCCACAAATAAGGATGTAGATATACACTAATCACTCTTAAATGCTTTACTGTATATCCCAGTCTCAAGTAGGAGAATTAGTATCCATATGTGTTTAATTCATTCTGCTAAAACAGGAAGGTAATTTTTTTCCCCACTCATTCATGAGATATGGATATCGCTGGATGGGCCAGCATCTTTGACCATCGCAGATGCCCCTTGAGAAGATGGTGGTGAGCTTCCTTCTTGAACCAGTGCAGCTACAATACCTTTAGGGAGGGAAATCTGAGATTTTGACCCAGTGACAATGAAGGGATGCCAATATATTTCCAAGGCAGGATGGTAAGTGCCTTGGAGGGAAACTTGCAGATGATTGTGTTGCCATGTGTCTGCTGTCCTTGTCCCAGTTTGACTGAATTAGTTAGAAATAGGTACAAGTGACCTATATAAGGAGGATGGGTTGCACCTGAATTGTAACGGGATCAATATCCTGGCAGAGAGATTTGCTAGTGCTACAAACTAATAAGGGGGAAAGGAGAGAACGAAGTACAACTGATAAATTGAACCGCATTTATTTCAATGCAAGAGGCCTGGTAGGTAAGGCAGATGAACTCAGGGTATGGTTGGGAACATGAGACTGGGATATCATAGCTGTTACAGAAACGTGGCTCAGGGAAGGACAGGACTGGCAGCTTAATGTTCTAGAATATAGATGTTATAGGAAGGATAGAAAGGGGGGCAGGAGAGGAGAGGGAGTGGGGTTTTTAGTTAGGGGTAACATTACAGCTATACCCAGGGAGGTTATTTCTGGGAATGCGTCCAGTGAAGTTATTTGGTTGGAACTGAGAAATAAGAAAGGGATGATCACCTTATTGGTATTGTACTATAGAACCCCCAATAGTCAGTGGGAAATTGAGAAGCAAATTTGTAAGGAGATCTCAGATATCTCAGGGAGGCACAGGTGGCTCAGTGGTTAGCACTGCTACGTCACAGCATCAGGGACCCAGTTTCAATTCCAGCCTCGGGCAACTGTCTGTGTGGAGTTTGCACTTTCTCCCAGTGTCTGCGTGGGTTCCCTCCAAGTGCTCCCAGAACTTCCTCCCAGTTCTGAGGAAGGGTCACTGGAGCCGAAACATTAATTCTGACTTTTTCTTTACAGATGCTGTCAGACCTGCTGAGCTTTTCCAGCTGTTTTTGTTCCAAAAACGTGCAGGTTAGGTGGATTGGCCATGCTAAATTGCCCATAGTGTCCATGGATGTGTAGGTTAGGTGGATTAGCCTTGGGAAATTCAGGGCTACAGGGATACGGGGTGGGGGGGGTAAGTCTGGGTGGGATGAGAGTCGGTGTGGACTCCGGCTGAATGACCTGTTCCACACCACATCTGCAAGAATGACATAGTTGTAATGGTAGGGAATTTAATGCACCAAACATAGAATGGGACTGCCATAGTGTTAAGGGCTTAGATGGAGAGGAATTTGTTAAAAGTGTACAAGAAAATTATCTTATTCAGTACATGGATATACCTACTAGAGAAGGAGCAAAATGTGACGTCCTCTTGGGAAGTAAGGTAGGGCAAGTGATTGAATTGTCAGTGGGGGAGCACTTTGGAGCCAGTGATCATAATTCTATTAGTTTTAAAATAGTTATGGAAAAGGATAGACCAGATCTAAAAGTTAAAGTTCTCAATTGGAATAGGACCAATTTTGGTGGTATTAGGCAGGAACTTTCAAAAGTTGATTGAGATTGGCTATTCACAGGTAAAGGGATGGTTGGAAAGTGGAAGGCCTTCAAAAATGAGATAACAAGAATTCAGAGTCAGTATGTTCCTGTTAGTGCAAAGGGCAAAGCTGGTAGGTGTAGGAAATGCTGGATGACTAGAGAAATTGAAGCTCTGCTCAAGAAAAAGGAGGCAGCATATGTCAGATATAAATAGCTGGGATCGAGTGAATCCCAAGAAGAGTATGAGGGCAGTAGCAGTATACTTAAGAGGAAAATCAGGAGGGCAAAAAGGGGACATGAGATAGCTTTCATAAATAGGGTTAAGGAGAATCCAAAGAGATTCTACAAATACAATAAAGGGCAAAACAGTAACTAGGAAGAGAATAGGGTCCTTCAAAGATCAACATAGCTGTCATGTGTGGAACCATGGGAAATGGGTGAGATATTAAACAAGTCTTTCACACCAATTATTTACTGTGGAGAAGGATATGGAAGATAGAGAACTTGGAGAAATAAATAGTGATATCTTGAAAAGTGTCCGTATTTCAAAGGTGGTGCTGCTAGACATCTTAAAATGCATAAAGGTGGATAAACGCCAGGACCTGATTAGGTGTATCCTAGAACTTTGTGGGAAGTTAGTGAAGTCACTGCTCGGCCCCGTTGCTGAGATATTTGTATTATTGATTGACAAGGGTGAGGTGCTGGAAGACTGGAGGGTGCCTAATATGGTGCCATGATTTAATAAAGATGGTAAGGGTAAGCCTGGGAACTATAGACCGGTGAGCCTGACATCAGTGGTGGGTAGTTGTTGGAAGGGATTCCGAGTGACAGGATTTACATGTATTTGGAAAGGCAAGGATTGATTAAGGATAGTCAACATGGCTTTGTGTGTGGGAAATCATGTCTCACTAACTGGTGTGAGTTTTTTGAAGAAGTGACAAAGAGGATTGATGGAAATGGAGTGGTGAATGTTAACTATACAGGCTTCAGCAACGCGTTCAACAAAGTTCCACGTGGTAGATTGGTTAGCGAGGTTAGATCCCATGAAATCTAGGGAGAGCTAGTCATTTGGAC